TCATTATGGAAGGTAGTTTGTTGTTGAGATTTTGTTACTCCAATGAATGGTAGTCTTTTCATTATGGAAGGTAGTCTGTTGTTGAGATCTTTTTCCGATGAATGGTAGCGTTGTCATTTTGGAAGGTAGTTCGTCATTGAGATTCGGTTTCTCAGTAGTAGTTCATTTGTTCACAGTCACGAGTACTGAGTACATCTTGAAATTTACTATTATTATCTTATCATTCCTTTCCCAGGTGGGTAGATGTTACTTTTTTTGCTATCCTCAGTGAGTTGGTAGTTCACAGTTATCTGTCGGTCACTGTTATCCTTCACTCTCTCTCCTTAATTTTTAAGTTGATGATGCTTTAGATCCTCTCTTGGGAATTACCGCAACAAAGTCTCATCTTTTCTTCACCAGTGATTTAGTTCCCTGGTTTATTTTTCCTTTTGTTTACTCTTTTACATTTTACATCCTTAGTGGTGTCTTGCATCCCTTTAGATTTTTTCATCTTCATTCATAATCACAAGCATTGCATCTTAGGGCCAAAAATAGGGCTTGTTTTATATTTAAGTATCATCAATCACATCGACACGAAGATTTTAACCTTTGTATCTCCGGATGGAAGACACTTAAATAAGGGCAGCTATTGTACTCCAATTGTTTCCCCTAAGATCCTTTCATCATATCATCTTAATTCAACCACAACAAGATCATATTAGGGTTTGGTTCTTCTCCCTATCTCTAGCTTTGGTTCTAGGAAGAATCATTAAGCACCGTGACTTGTATTTTATGATCATTTATGATTTTTATTGATTATCCTTCAACTAATAAATACAATGAGTGTTTGGCCCCAATTGTTGATTTTTTAGGTGAAATCACAATACATTTCGTCAAGATTGATTTATGGATTCATGAGTTCAAAACATGAGGTACATATATTGCTATTGACCGACCTCAAAATTTGTGCGACTTCTATATAAGTCCACTTACAATTGCTTAACCTAGCGCTAAATTTTGTCCCGGTTTGAGAAAATGATAATTCTTGGCCCAAACCTATATTTGCAAGCCCAAGTATGTTAAATATTATTGATCATTAAGTGTTATCTTGAGAATTCTTAAATGGATAATATACTTGACAAAAAGCAAAATGCAACTTGTTGTTGAGAGGCTTTGGTTCTACCAATCCTCTAATGAGTTCCAAATGCAAGTTTCAAGATGGTCATCTAACTAACCACTAATTCCTAACAATTGACTTTATTTTTATGCTTTTATTGTATGCTTTTACTTTATATACCATTTACTTTAGAATTTACATTTCATGCTATTTTCATCTTTGCTCACTTGAGCCTTTAATTTTATGTCTCTTTTATTTTTTTCTCATTTGAGCTTTTCATTTCTTTTTTGAAGATACCTAATAACCAACTTAAAACCTAAAAAAGACTTTAATTTTACTTGTACTAGTTGGTTACTATCCTTGGCATTGTGGAGATTGTGAACTTCTTGGGCTTAGGATTAGAAGTCTTGATCTACCATGAGACTATGTAACCTTGATTGGTATTTTGTCTGGAGTTCTTGGGATTTACCCCCAAGACATTGGGTTGCTTGTTTGCTTTGTGTGCAGGTTATTGTGATTACATGTTTTGTTTGTGATCTAGAATTCATCTGTGTACAACTGTTACTCTGTCCAATTTTTGTGAAGACTTAATGCAAATTGAAGCTTGGTATTCCTGAGAGGTTTATTAATTGTTTGTTTGGTTTCAAATCCAAATGATGGAATTCTACATTGACTCATTATGACAAGTGTTGGCCTCTTATTTGGTTAGATGGTTCTTCTTCTTAACTTTTACCTTATACTTTAGGATAGTCTCTTCATCTCCAACCCACTCATGATATGGATGTTGAAGCTAATTCCCATAATAGATTGGTTGAGCATATATGTACCCCCTAACACATAAACCAAGTGTTTCTTTTAACAAGTAAAAACAAGCTGAGTTTGTACCTTGTTAGTTTTATTTTGCTCCGAAAAAAGAATGTAGTTCAAAGCAGCAATGTTCCCTTCATCAATTTTATCCTGGAATCTAACCAAAATGATGATTTTCATAATTGTCAAATGTGGGTTTGTTCAAGTATGAAGTCATCATTTTTACAGTTTTAGACCTATGCATGGTACAATTGGGATGAGTTCATTATTTGGTTGTGTTATTCCTTGGAAATTGCTTATGCCTTAATGCTCGTTTAACTTTGATTTCCCGAATATTGATTTTTTGTTGTAATATGGACCAATAAATTGTGAACATGTGCGTGTGGTATATGTAAACACTTGAAAGAAGTTTGTGTGGATGGAACTGTTAAAGTATATATCAATTCGTGTCTTCTAAAAATGTCTTGGCTCACTAATGAGTGTTGGAATCATGATATTGGTAGGTAGCATGAAGAAAAGGTGTTATGAATCAACAATATTTCAATAATTTCTATTTTTGGACTCTATAAATCAGTTGATTGGTTTTCAGTTAGTAAGCTCTATTAACTTTACATATAGATCATTAGTGTAATTTTGTTTTTTTCATGTAGATGCTGTTTATTATACTTCATATTGTATAGAGACATTTTCATTTGGATATGCATGGACCTCTTTTTATACTTGATGATTCCATGCTCCTAGTTTATGCCTTACACCTGGTTGAATGGTTGATTGCTGCTAGCTCTATATGCTTCATGCTTTTAGTTGCTACTAAAAAAAATTCAAATCATACAACTTATAGCAACTAACTATTTAACACTTGTTTGACATGTTCAATGATTGTAACTTACTTGTGTACTTAGTTATTCTCATACTCTTTGGCCTTTAAGCAGTTCATTGATGTGGAAACCATTGTCTTTTCGATAGTTTTTACAAGACAAAGTTTATGTTACCTCTTACGTAATCTCATCAATTAGATCTCTTATGGAAACAACTAGACGTCGACTTTACATTCAGTCATTTGTTTTCGCAAAGCTGAACAAGCATAAGCATGCCACTGACATGTTAAATGAAGGTGCGATTGTTGATGTAATATATTGTTTGGTGCCTACATGGTTATTGTCAACCTACTGCCATATTCTGGTTATTCTAACTCTAAACTAGTAAAAGTAATTGTGTTAATAATATTTTCATTTTGTTTTACCTCAACAATTTCCTTCTTTGACAACAATTAAAAAGTGTTGCCAAATTGGGAAAAATGTCCCAAAAGAGAATAGGGGATGCTTTCTGGCCATCCTTTGAGCTCGCATTGCCTATAATTCAAGACAACATTTATTTTTGCTTTTTGGCCACACTTTCCTAAAACGTCCCCTAAACTATAGGAAAAGGGGACATTTTTCCGTAGCATTTTAGGATACATTTTTAAATGGGACATTTATCAATTATTGTCAAAGATAAATTATAAAAACCCTTGAAAATCATTCCCATAAATAATTTAGGAAACATTTGAGAAGTGTTGTAAATATTGTCTTGGCAGCAAACAAAAAGTGTTGCCTAATCTTTTGTTAGGCAACAATTTACACATATTGCGTAAAAAGTATTAGGAGAAACAATAAATATTGAAGTGTAAATTTGGTTACATTAGTTTCCTTTAAATCCTTTGTGCAATTGTGTTTATCGTTATATTTAAAGATAACTTGTCATTAATGGAACACTGGACATAATTTAATGGGAGTGGACATATGTCTTTGTTATTTGTTACTCTTATATGATGTATGCATTTATATTTATTATTTGTTGAAATTATAATGTATACGCAATTATGTTTATTATAGTTCCTTAGTAGATCCATATTGCAAAGGAAACATTTTTGAGTAAGATCGTTCAATGAGCTTCGTAGAGAAATATGTTCTTCACTTTTGCAAATTTTGGTTCTTTTATATTAGCCTTTGACAAGGAGAGCAATCTTTAAAAAATAGTACAATTTAAGTTTTGATGCCAACATGGATATAATTGATTCTAATATAATTGAGTTTAGTAAAATTAATTTTAATAAAATTGAGTTTAGCAGAATTGATTTATGTTTGAATAGATTTATGTAAAATTAATTATGAGTCTCGTAGAAATAGAACCAAATATACACCTATAAACAACCACCAAAATGTATGTTCTTGTCAAAAGTGAAAATCCATTGTGATTCTAGAAAACTGAACGCTAAACCAAACACATTGATAGATATAAAATTTTACATTCATTATATATTTAAAATCGGGTGTAAGTTCTTTAAAATTCAAATTAAACATTTAAATTTTTACATCAATTTTATCTAAATTCAAGTGTAAATTTCTTGAAATTTAGTGTAAATATCTAACATTTTATATTTTTTATTGGTGAAATTGGTGTAATATATCTCTTTCTATACCCATTTTATAATGAATATAAAATTTTCATATATATCTCACCCGAGGAAATTACAACAGTTAAAAACTGATATAATATGTAAAAAAACAGAGTGTAAAATCTTCTTCCTCCACTAATATAATATAAAAAAGATTAATATTTGTAACTCAATCGTATTTTTTGTGAAATTCTTTCCAGAATAACTCCTTCTTAAATATTGTGGACATTGCCTTTGGAGCACAAGTGAAAAAAGCGATAGATATATCAAATAATGAGAAGGGAAAATAATTTTATTATCACACATAAATTTGACATAATGGCATATACATAATTTCATATATATATATATATATATATATATATATATATATATATATATATATATATATATATATATATATATATATATATATATATATATATATATATATATATATATATATATATATATATATATATATATATATAATGTCACTACATAGCAATGCTTACCTACAAAATACCATTCAAAAACTTATTAAAAGAGTAATTTTTCATGATATACAACTATAATTAAAATTTTACGATGACTCATAATAATTAAATATTACCTAAAACTACTAGTTGCATTCTAAACACACACAATAACAAGAAGGAGAAGCAAAGAAACACGTTCGTTTTACAACTTTGAGAGAGAGTCCAACTCAATAATACCTTCATAAAAATGTTTTTTAAAGGCACTCATATAGACCTCTTGCAAACAAATAAAACACACCAAAGTTCCATCAACTTGAGAACTAGGAAGAATGTACGTTTCTCCTTCAAGTATAGTATGTATTCCTGGTATCATATAAACCTCCTCCCCCCATCCAAAATCAAATTTGTGATATGAGAACATCATCCAACTAAGCGCTCCTAAATTAGGATTTCGATAAAATGGCACAGTGTAAACATGCATCATAGTCCGATCATAGTCTCTCTTTTTGTAATCAGTCAACGTCGATCTCACATACTCATCATTCACCTTCTCAATTGCTTCCTTTATCCTACTCGAAGCATATCCTAATGGCTTAGACATTAAATCACCTGCAAGACTTGTAGCTACCACATTCACTATCGCATTTCCAAAATACTTTTTTGGTAAACTAGGTTTCACACGACTTCTGAAATCAACAACGACACCAAACACAGTTGGTTGGTCAATTTTAAGCCCTCTAGCTATACATGCACTTCTCCAAATATGACCGGTTATCGTTTCATAAATTGTATAATTTCGTTCATTACTAGGTTTATTCCAACTCTCATTCGTTATTTTTCTCAATCTTTCAACTTGTGCTTTACTTACATGGATTATAGCAACCATTGTTTTTTTCTTTCTTTCTTCCTCAACATTACTATCTGAATTTTCCAACAAAAGCGGAGGTTTATCAAACTTCCACTCATTTACACAATTGCATGGTTCCTTATTATGTAAGATGTTTCTATCGAGAAACGGAATCCTTTTTAAAGGTTCTCCTCGTGCTAACTGAGCCCACTCAGCAATGAAATGTGATCCACTTTGTCCATCAATCACTGCATGTGACAATAACAAACTAATGCTAATGTCACCGCATTTGAAATTCGTGAGTTGGACAATCAGCAAAGGACGATCTTGAATTGGGAGTGTATAGTCAACTTGCGGGAAAAGATAACTACGATAATTGTCAGAAGAGGAGGAAAAGTCACCAAGATCAGATAATGTTAAAGAGGATTCTGCTTCGATGAACTGAACACCCTTTGCGTTGCATTCTAGTTCAAAACGCTTATTACCTTTCGATCGTAGACGACCAGCTAATGGATAAAAATGTACGAGAACTTTGCTTAGTGAGTGTTTCAAAGTGGTGGCAATTTTAGTAGGGGGAGTAAGCCAATTTTGTGGTGGGCGGTAATAGAAAAGAATTGGAGTGTAGGTTGTGATTCCAAGTTGATCAAATTCGGTTAATGGTAAACAACCTCTCCATGTTGGTTCCATTGGTGTCACAGTGTAACAACCTTTCAATGTTATCGATGACGAGGAAGACATGTTGTTGGATTTAATGTTTATATCACAATGTGTTTGTGAATTTACAAGTTGAGATCAAGTTTCTTATATATGAGTTTGGAGGGCTACATATTTTGAAAAGATAGAGAAAAATCATTTCCTTAATAAAGACTAATTCACCGTCAAAGTTTTTCGAGACAATAGCTTACCGTTGTAATTTCGTGAAGGAAATAACATTTGTTTATATGGGTTTAATAAATATGTATCCACTGTGTATAACTATTTTATACGGTTCTTAAATAAAAAAATAAATAATATATTATGTTACTAAATAAATTTAAAATTAAATAATAATATAATTAAATACATAATTATAATTAATTGACCGCATAAAACTATCTATATTACTTATTTTCTATTTATATTGTCACAACTTACTAGTTTTAAGCAAAAATATTTTCACAAGATAAATTACGTTTTCTATTTCCACCTTATTGTCCTAGATTTCACACGACTTCTGAAATCAGCAACGACACCAAACACAGTTGGTTGGTCAATTTTAAGCCCTCTAACTATACACACACTTATCCAAATATGACTAGTTATCGCTTCATAAATTGTATAATTTCATGCATTATTAGATTTTTTCCAATTCTCATTTGGTATTTTTCTCAACCTGTCAGCTTGTGCTTTATTTACATGATTATAGCAACCATTGTTTTTTTCATAAACATTACTATAAGAAATTTCTATCAAAAGCGAAGGTTTATCAAACTTGCACTCATTTACACCATTGCATGGTTCCTTATTATGTAAGATGTTTCTATCGGGAAACAGGACCCTTTTTAATGGTTCTCCTCGTGCTAACTGAGCCCACTCAACAATAAAATGTGTTGCACTTTGTCCATCAACCATCACATGTGACAATAAAAAATTAATGTTAATGTCACCACATTTAAAATTCGTGAGTTGGACAATCAATAAAAAATGATCTTGAATTGGGAGTGTGTAATCAACTTGATGATGATGTAATTAAATAAATAGTATATCATGTTATAAATTTACACCGTCAGTGTATCATTTAATTTTTCTATTTATATTGTCACAACTTGATGATGATGACGTGAATCTTTTCTATTTATATCTAGAAAGCTGTCTAGCAAGTTGTCACAATAAATAACATTTCTATTTCCTCCCCATAATTTGAATAGTAGCCCAATAAATTATATTGTCACAGATTGCTTGTTTCGCAGTATGTCTTATATGGCAGAGTCTGTCTTTTTGTGAAGGAGAGTACCTATCTAACAAGTTGTTACAATAAAAATAGTAGCTTGGCCTAATAAATTATTGTCTCAAAAAACTTTAAGAGATAATTGAACTTTTTTTAATAGTAGAGATAAATTATTGTCTGCTTGTTTCAAGTTGTCACAATTTGAATAGTAGCTCAGCCTATATGGCAGAGTCTGTCTTCTTGTGAAGGAGAGTACCTGTCTAGCAAGTTGTCACAATAAAAATAGTAACTTGGCCTAATAAATTATTGTCTCAAAAAACTTTAAGAGATAATTGAACTTTTTTTAATAGTAGAGATAAATTATTGTCTGCTTGTTTCAAGTTGTCACAATAAAAATAGTAGCTCAGCCTATATGGCAGAGTCTGTCTTCTTGTGAAGGAGAGTACCTGTCTAGCAAGTTGTCACAATAAAAATAGTAACTTGGCCTAATAAATTATTGTCTCAAAAAACTTTAAGAGATAATTGAACTTTTTTTAATAGTAGAGATAAATTATTGTCTGCTTGTTTCAAGTTGTCACAATAAAAATAGTAACTTGGCCTAATAAATTATTGTCTCAAAAAACTTTAAGAGATAATTGAACTTTTTTTAATAGTAGAGATAAATTATTGTCTGCTTGTTTCAAGTTGTCACAATAAAAATAGTAGCTTGGCCTAATAAATTATTGTCTCAAAAAACTTTAAGAGATAATTGAACTTTTTTTGCATTGGCCTAATAAAAAAATAACAAATCTTGCATTGGTAGTATGGTAAAGAGATAATTATTTTGAGATGGAAGATATACAAATGAAATACTTATTATGAGATAGAAGAAGTAGTAGTTGGAGATGGAAAAAATTCGTATTTCTAAGTTTCCACGGATAAAATCCATCACGAACACATATTGATAATTTAATGGATATCCACAAGTAAAATAAACTGATATTTTGTTATTTGTTTTCTTAAGAGCACCCATACAGATTTGATGGCACCGTTACCTCCGGATATATGTATTCGTTAACAATTAGAAAAATTATTTGAATATTAATTTATTTAATATAAAATAATAATAATAATAATTATTATTATTATTATGTTGTTAAATCTGAAACTATTATTATTATTATTATTATATTATTATTATTATTTTATTGAATAGGAATTGTTATAATTTTATTGAATTTAGTATAATTATTTGATAGAAGAAGAAATACAATGAATGTGATTTATTTTTGTTATTATTATTATTATGTGTTAAATTTAAAATAATTTTTATTTTAAAAAAAATATTTAAATAATAATATCTATGAATATTTGTGAGTATATAGTATTTCAAAATTCACGGATACTCTTCTGGTGAATATATCTGTCCGAATATGAGGCATGTGTAACACTCTAAACCCCATATCTTAAATATAAAAGAGAAAACAATTTATGATGCTACTCTATCAAAACATGCATACTTTATTTGTATAAAATTAACAACCTCACAACGGAAAATCAAATTATTACATAACTTTCAAAAACTTATTCAAAAGAAATATCGAAGAAATTAAAATTCAACATCATCTCAACTAATACAAATGCGCTCTATTCTCCGATGTTACATAATCAGAGGAATGTCCATTAAAACGTAAATAAATAAAAGTGAAAGAAAATCGTGAAGTCATCTTTCCACTCACAAGCAATCACTTTTGATGAGTATCTGTACAAAATCACCAAAGGTCACACAAACAAACAAACAAACAAGAAAGGGGTGAGAATACACCTTACGAATGTTAACATTGAAATCTAACATCAGGATGGTATAACGAAGCATTGATCAATATATTATTTTCATACAAGAAAATCACAATCAAATGCAAATGATAATGCTACAACTTCTCCTTCAATATGTATGTGGTACCGGATGTTGGATATCAGAGGTCTGTTACTAATTTATCTACGATCTCGGATCCCTCTTTGAACCAACAATTCCTCATGAATCTGAGACCCTCATTTGGTTCCTCTTTGACTCGACAAATCTTCTGTGAATCTGAGGCTATCAATGGACAAAAGTCCTACCTATCTCCAACAAATATGCATGCATGGACATATATAACAAATGGGCATGTAACTCAAATAAGTAATCACAAATAATCTCAAAACATCAAACTCAAAAGGGTTTCACTCTTGACCCACAAATTTTCCAATAATCAGATCATCATTGTAATCCCACAAAATTACTAATAAGAACAATATAACTATAAACAATTCAAATCGAGTAATGGTATGTTATTACTCTACAGTTTTAAAATCACCAAAAATTCTCAAACCATCTTAAAAGATTATCATGTTATTTAATAACAACTCCAAATTACTCAAATACTCTAAAGTGTTCAAAATTGACTCTAAGGGTTACCTTCACGAAAGATAACTCTACTAATCCCAAGGACTAGCAGTTTAACTCAAAATCACTTACAATTGACCAAAGGGTAATAAAAGGCCATTGATGTCAAAAATTGGCCAAAACTTTGCGAAAAACGCTCTTAAATTCGAAACTATCGAGCCTAACTACCGCCGCCATAGTGGCGCGGATCCCAAATTTCTTCGACCGTCATCATCGATGCTGCCCGCCATCGCGACTCCTCCTGTGACACTATTCACTATTGGCCGTTGGCGCCTCCCAATGCACGACACTATTCATCGGTGACCGCAATCAACGACATTGCTTGTCGTCGCCCCTCTACCACACGACACTGTGATTTCACGATCTCACAATCGTTGCAACAACTGTCGTAGAGCGGATCTGATGTTGCTCGCCTACAAGCGCGTCCCAACCGCCGTGGCTATGCCACCCTCTTCGGAAAAATTCTGATTTTTTGGAAAAAGTCCATTTTTTTTTATTTTGTGGGAAAAAGTCTGATTTTTGGAGAACATTTTTTTTTCTAACATTTTTTTAGAAATTTTGAATAGTCACTAATCGCACAAATTTTGCAGAAATAAAAACTTAACAATGATATAGATTTTTACAGAAAATAAATTACATACCAATAACATAAATATTTCACAGAAATACAGAATCTTAAATCTATCGATTCATGACAACAATCATAGTTTTACATTATATATATATATATATATATATATATATATATATATATATATATATATATATATATATATATATATATATATATATATATATATATATATATATATATATATATATATATATATATATATATATATATATATATATATATATATATATATATATATATATATTGTTGTACCCCAAAATTTTCCCTCTCATTTATCAAGATTTTCTCACAAGGTCTCTTTGACTCAAGGATGGATTAGGGTTTGATCAAAGACATCTCATCTTGCACTGATGACTCAAAATTAGGGTTTAAGTTTTCACAAGGATTTTTGGACTACCAATGCTTCATATGACTTTCAAGTATCATCATGGACCCCTAAGACTATTCATGTCAAGTTTCAAGCCTTGAATCACATTTTTGACCAGTCAATTGGACAGTTGACCTAAATATCAGCTGTATTGGGGAAAAAGTCAACCATGACCAATTTACAGTCAAACTTCATAATTTTTGATCCATATCAACATTTTAAAGTCATATGTATCATTTGATCAAGTTTGGACCACAATTCCTCAAGAACTTTGATCAAATCATCAAAAGGGCAAAATGGTCAAAATTAGGGTTTTGACTGAGAAAGGGCAATTTCTGATTTTTGACCTAACAAATGACCAATTGGTTTGAAGCATGATTTCAAG